CTTAGTCTGTTTGACCACTCAATGCCGCTGTACACTGACTGATTAGTGGACCACCCGCTCGTACCCTCTGGCTCTGACCTCTAAGCCACACCACCTATTAACAATTATCCGTGTAAGACAGTTGTTGGCAAAACATATCTATGGCTTTTCAGAGGAGCTCTCTTTTTTACTGTCATTGGGGGGTATTTTTCTTGAATATGTTCTGATCTTCATGTGCTTATTAAGGAGGAGCTGAGCCCCCCGGCTTCCCTGTAAGTTTTTGCACCCTGTGAGGACAGAGACTTTGTTAAGAATTTCTTTAATAAATGTCCATGCGTATAAAGACGATAAGGCACATACATGGGGGCGGCTAGTAAACTGCAGAAGGCAGGAGCGGTTCCGTCCCCCCCATTCGGAAGGTTGGTGGTTCGATCCGCCGGGCTTCCTCCTGCCATTGTCAAGTATTTCCGTGTGAGCAAGATACTGAACCCCAAGTTGGCTCCCGCATGTATAGCATTCGGTGTGTGAATGTGGTAATGAATGAGTTAGTTTCGTTCGGAATGGACTTTGCCATCGCTGGGTGTGAATGGTGTGTGAAAGGGTGAATGGTGCAGCGTAGTTGTAAAACGCTGTTGGAAGTCGCGTCGGAAGACTAGAAAGGGCGCTATACAGAGTACAGGGTCCATTTACCATTTACCATAAACCCACTGGTTGGTTCTCCGGTAGCATGCATTGAGATATGTTGTCTGTATGCAATTTACAGGAAAGACCAGTCAGTTGTCATCATGTGGTTTTTTGAGGGGAACGATTGGACAACTCAAACTATAAAAGTTTTCTAGTTGATGACAACCTGGAATACACAAGTTTTTTTGATTCTGTGAGGGCTGCCTCATTTGTGGAGGAATTAGTAAGTTTAACATGGCGTTTCAGGTCCTGTTGAATGAATCAGTCTTTGTGGGCTGAATGAGTGGGGCATAAGAATTTGCTTGCAGTCAAGTAAGTCCTTTAGACACTCTCAGGACAAATCAGGTTACAGTGCAGGCTATTAACATATAGTCTCAGTCAAGGGAGTCGGAATCCTTCAGTCTAAGGAGCAATGAAAAAAGGATAAAATGGGACGTAAATAAATGAAGGGGAGGTCATCAAAGTGGGTTTAATATAAGTGTGTATGTGAGAATACATGCAAAATGCCAAACCCATAAAATCTGTGGCAGACATCTAAAATCTGTCCTGTCACGGCCCATTTTGAATTAGGAAGGGATCTCATCTTAGTTTTGAAAGATGGGAACTGAAACTATCACTGTTTTTAGAGCCATTGGGTGGTTGTGCAGGCTGGTTCTCACAACTATAAACGCTTCTCATGTTGGTTTCACACTAATGACTTTACGCAAATTAAAAAGTTGGTTCTTTCAGCAGTCCTCAACATGATAGCATATTTCATGGGTACGTCAACATGTCATTTTTGATGCAAGAACCATGGTTGGAGATCCTACACAGGTTTACATTTTTAACCTCACCAAATATGAAAAAGGGTTGTTTGTCGATATGAACAATACTGTAAAGGTGGTGTGTACATCTCGCATCGTGTGGTGTGGGAGTGAGAGAGGGAGGGAGGGATGGTTAGTTAGGTTGTCAGTAGGAGAAATGAGCTTCTGAGTTAATGACAAATAGGTATTTTAGTTAAAGCGCTGGCTTTCGGCAGCATGAACCAGGCTGGAATTATGACCATAACGCATTTTCAGTTCCACAAAGTAGGCTAATTCAAAGAAAGGAAGACACCCGGTATCGACATAAATGGTCAAGCCAACTGAACGCGACCGACAAAAAACTTTCAAATCCGCCATTTTTTTTTTGGGTTCTTTTGGACGTTCCGCAGGCCTCGCCGGGCTTAGTTGTGTTGCGGGTTTTGAACGTCGGCAGGTAAGAATTCGCAATCCCAAACATTGTTTAATACACGATTCTTTCAATTAGCAATTCCAACACCACAGAGGATTTTACCCATGATGCTTGGAACTTTCTGGTAAGACGGTGATTGCGAATGCGGGACTTTTTGTTAATGACAGACAGGTCAGTATTCAGAATGATTGTTGTTGAAGGTAGGATAACCAAGACTAAAGTGTAGGTTGAGCAGGACGATTGGGCATGACTTTATATTCCATAGCTCTGACCTAACCAAATCTAACTGGCATCATTATTGTTAACACATCAACAAACAAAATGTATCGTTTCTGCTGTTCATCAAAAAGCTAAGGCTAAGGAAATTATTTTTCAAAAGAATGCCAAATGAAATATTATTATTATTATTATTATTATTATTATTATTATTATTATGGACAATCATTTGTTGGCTTTAATTTCATTGTCAGAATAATACATAATATTAATTTCTCATTATCAACTGATAATTAATTGGCCCAGATAATTATCGTGCATCCCTAGTCTAAAGATGTTGACAGCTAAGAGACAAACAATTATTATTTTTAGGTGATTATACATTATATAAGAAAACATACCTGTGAATATTGTATTCCATTTCTGCCAATAGGCCCTCCTAAATGTTACTCAATGGGCCTTTTTAACTGTTGTTTAATTATACAAAAATGCCAAGTGTGCTTGTTCAGCTTTTCAAATGTGAATTTTTCTTTTTTTCACTGTTGTTAAATACTGTATTTTAATCACACAAACTGACAGCGTTTTAAGTTTTCTCAACAAAATTTGACTAAATGCTTTTTTTGTAGCTTCTGATTGTACATTTTCCATATATCTGGATTAGTGGTTTATTAAAATGTGTTTTTCCTCTTATAGGCCTCAGTTTTAGTGACTGCTGAGGAGCCAACATGTGTACCAGGATTTCAGTCAGACGTGTTGATTTTCAAAGTGGCCCGAAAGCACCTGAGACCGCCCATGACACTGGGCAAAGGTAAGAGCAATCCAGAAAGCTGTACTCTCATTACCTAATGCACACTGATTTACTGTATGGTGTTCATTTACAACGTTCAGTATCACTATATATGGATTATTTTTACATTGTAAAATCTAAAGAACATTTTAGGATCTAAAATCTAAAATTATAGTCATACATGCAACTTTTTTTTGGTAAAATTCTCCTCGGCCTCAAATTGCCTTATACAGAAAAGCTGTTCTCGTTGTTCTAAAATGTAGCCCAAATAACCTTAGGTTTCAGCTTGCACTCTCTCTGCACTTCGTGCAATGCTGCAAAGCAATGTCCTCATGTCTGTTTGGCAGACCTGGCTTCTGAAATGAAAAGTCATGAAACTTTTCCAGTTCTCCACTGTTTTCAGCTGTGTCAGTTGAAAATGTAACTACCCTCTCTGGGTGTGGTCTACGTGTTTGTCTGACTGGCACATCTTTGCTAGCCTAGCACATGGTTAAACTGTCGTGAGCCAGGCTTCTGGTTTCCTCTGTGCAACTTTAGACGTACTTGTTCATCAACAGTTGAAGTCTTCATAATTCTTCCTAATGCCTGCCACCAGAAAACCAGAAAATATTTCTGTATTTCCTATATACAAAATGATCCACTTTCACCCATATCGGTGATAAAGACTTTATGTTCTGCATGTTCAGCAGCTGTTTGAGAAATTAAATCAAATACATATATTTTTTTATCATTTTGGCGCTGGTGATTTTCCTTTGCCGCTGGCTAACACCTCTGTTCGGGTCTGTGCAGGAAAAACCCTGTTCTGTGAGTGAAAATTAAATGCACCGTTTTTACTAGGTCACTAGTTTGGAATATACCATTTTACTTTTTCAGCTGGAGCTCCTATATTTCATCTGACAACAATCTTGTACAGCAACTAGAAGGTGGCTGAATGAGGACATGGGACTTGACCAAAGCCAAATAGCAGTGTTTTGTTGTACCTTGTCTGCATTCATTTGTTTGCCTGACAGGAACTATAATGACACTTTTGCGAAAATAGTCAATTATTTTGTTATGTACTGACAACTTAACAGTTATGTCTTTGTTTTGTCTGTATAATATGGACTGCATATGTAATGGATAATTATTTCTTCTGTCCAATCCCAGTGGGCTTCACGGACTGCACAGGCCGCACAGAATTTTCTTTCAGCAGTGATGACAGCCGGTTCACAGTACAGACAGACGGCACATTGATGGTAAGTAGTATTAACTCTTGATTGAAAAACTAATGCTTATCTCTCCAAAATTGTCACACATCCTTTTAAACACATGAGTTAAAATGATTAGGGGATTTGAGTAAGTATGCTTGGGTAATACAGAGTAATTAGACTGGGGAATTGTTTATAGTCTTATAAAGGATAAATTATAAAGGACTGAAATATAAATTCTCAGCAACAGTTCACATTTCTGGTAATCTTAAACTCGCTTAGATGAAGTGTGGGTGTGATATCCGTTATAATGAATAGAACCCATGTGAATTTTTAAGATGTGGCAGAAGTAGCTCTGTGGAGAGAGGACCCCTACATTTTCTTTACCTGAAACCACCTGAAAGACCGAAGTGATTTAAACAGCAATAACACGGTTCAGTTTGCCCTAGCTTGATGTAGTCACGTGGAAAGCTTTCTAAAAACCAAAATGCTTACCAGCACGTTGGCCTTTCCTGATTAGTCTTTTTTTCCCCCTCCAGGTAAAGAGATCTGTTTTTCTTCATGAAGGACACCAGGACTTCTTCATCAAATCCTGGGATTCACAAGGTCGCAAAATGACTCTTCTTGTCAGGGTAATGCACCATGGGCATCACCATGAGAACAACCAAAATGTTAAGCATCACCATGGAGACCACAAACACCATAACCATCAGCACCACTTTACTGAAGTACACTCAGAGGTAAGATTAGAGACATTATTAATACTCAGTCACCAGGATCACTTTTAATCATAATTGTCTTTAGATTGCACTGACCAAATCTGAAATCGACCCAATAAATTCCTTCGTTCGTTAAGATACGCTTGCAAATCGTCCAAAAAGGATTCAAAATTAGACTTTGTTAACTGAAAAAGACACATCATAACACATCATCAACTACTTTAGGGTCTTCTGACCAAATTACTGCTAGATCTGGTAAATCTGCCAGGAATAGTACATAAAAGTATAAAACATGACATTTCTTGTTGCCAGTAGGGGGCACTATGCTATTAGTATGGAAGAATATTGGCATGTTGATTTGTTCAGGGCAGGAACCTTATCAGACCTGTGAGCTTTGTTTCAGATTGGACAAAGTACACAGAAGTTATGACAACTTACTTTCATGGCCAAACATTGTAATTTGGCACTGCGAAAGCGACGGAAACTCTCAAATGGGACAACTTTTAATAGTGCTTGTCTTCATACTGGCCAAATTTAAAGTTTATCTGATCAATTCCCTAGGAGGAGTTTGTTAAAATATGTGTGAATCACTAAAAACGTCCACTAAATTAAAAATGGCCGTCTGGACATGATACATCTCTACCAATTTTCATGCATATCCGTGAAACATGCCCCGGGGCTGCTGTTTAGGGGCGATGTTGAGCCATTTTGCCATGCCCATGTGTGGGACCCATATCACAATTACATTTCTCATACCGTTGATTTTGTGCTGCGCTTTATGAGATATGGAGCATGTTGTGGTCCCAAAAGTGCAATTCATTGTGTGAAATAATTCCTTCAGCGATTGCTGCTCGGGCCCTGATTAAGCGAGCAAAATGTCTGTGGATGACAAAGTAAGCTATGCAGTAAATTGGGCAATGGTGAAAGCAAGAATATTACAAGTTACTGTATGACTATACAAAGGTGTGTGTATATATATCTTAGGATATAGTTGTTTAGTTTAACTGCAAAAATCACATGTCTTCAACCATGACCAATTAAAAGATGAAAAGAATGTATGAAACATTATTAATAAATAAAATAAATGGTGTAAACTGTTTTCATAACAGAAACTTACATGATCACTAGATGGCAATATTGTTGCGAGGATTAAACATCATAACATTTGCATAACATTTGCATAACAACACAAGCTGCAGTTTTGGAAATGCTCATAGGCTCTCAAATCCTTACATTTGCCCATTTATTTTTTTCCACAAAATGTTCACTTGCTGCCCAATATATCACACCAACTCATAGGTGCAATGATAACGAGAAAATGTGTTATTCATTTTACCTGTCAGTGGTCATAATGTTATGCCTGATCGGTGCACATACCTCTCTGTGCATGACTGTTGCCCACGCGAGCACGCATAAGGCATGACATTTTAAAAATGGGCACAAAATGTGCACGTGTTGATCAGACAGAGAGGGGAGGATGTATGGTGAAAATTACAGTTCTCTGATTTAAGGTCAATATCAGTCATAGAGCTCTGGGTTTTTTTGCTCTCCTGTAGAATGATTAATTCTTTGGAGATTGTAATTGTTGTTTCTACCTTTTTCTTGTGTTCATTTGGAGACCTGATAACGCCACCAGGCCTTGATCATAAATACAAATGGCTAAAAGTTTGGTGTTAATTTTCATTGGGTTTAGGGCCACAAGTGATATAGGTGTAATATGATTTAATGTTGAAATTATTTCCAAAGGCCTGTCATCAGAATATCCATCCATTATCTATTTCTCAAAAGTGGAGCCTATCCCAGCTCACATTGAACAATCACACGGTCATAAGCATTTTAAGCTAATGCTGATACTTACTATGAAATTGGTGTGTTTCTTTGTTTTTATTTCTAAGAGTGTTGTATTATTCAGTCCCTCACTTACTAAGTCTGTGTTTTCCCAGACTGCAGCTGATCCACAGGTGCCCATTCTGCACTTCCCCAAGCATGTTGACGGCCTAAAGAGGAGAAAGAGAGACTGGGTTATTCCCGACCTCAATGTTCCTGAGAATGACAGAGGACCCTACCCCCTCAGAGTATCTCAGGTAAGAGGAACTAAAACACCTTTTTGATATTGAGTATTTGATACTAAACTGAATTTTGAATATGTGTTTCTCTGTGTTGTTTTCCATTGCATTCATAGGGTTCTGATTCTTTATTTTCTATTTATTTATTGGATTTGATTTAAGAAAAAATATTTTACTCTATGTCCAAATAGAGCTGCAGTTGTCTTGCATTTCTCCCCAATCCCCAAGTGTGCTTACAATTATTCTGTAACCCTGTTAACTTTTTTTATGGCAATAGTTTAATTATCCTAGTTTCCTCACAATAATGAATGTGTGCCATGGCTGATGGGATGATACAACGCAGTTATCCAGAGATCATAATATGATTGACTTGAGATGTTGGCCAAGATGTAGAATATTGTAAGCAGGCCACTCTAAGTTGAAATTGTTCTGCAATATTGTAACTATTGTTGTAGTCTGTGATAGTGGTATAACTCAGTCCTGGTGTGTTTGATCCATTCCCTATTAGATCCGTTCTAATGAAGATAAAGTAAAGAAGATCTATTACAGCATCACTGGTCCAGGAGCTGATCAGGATCCCATTGGCCTCTTCACCATGGACAGAGCTTCTGGTACTCTGTATATCACACAACCACTGGACAGAGAGAAACAAGCCAAGTACACAGTAAGAATCCTCTCTGCTGTTAGATTTTTACATACAGTCTTTTCTACTCATCAGTATCAGACAGGGAGTTGTGGGAAACACCTGAGCACACTTTGTACTCCATTTTCATTCAGAATTGAAATTTTATTGACACTGTCAGATAGGTGCTGATTTTTCAGTGCTTGCTCATGTTAGGAGTTGTTGGGTCTCTGTAAATAATTTTAGTACGGTCTAGACCTGCTCTATATGAAAAGTGTCTTGAGATAGGGCAAGTGTGGCACGTAGTGTAAAAAGCAGTTTGAGTGGTCGGAAGACTAGAAAGGCGCTAGGTCCATTTACCATATGGAATGAAAGCATCTACATGGATTACTCTTGCATGTACAGCGTTATATTACCGATGTGTTTTGTTTGTGTGCAGTTTCAAGCACATGCTGTGGCAGATGGTTCAGTTGCTGAAGACCCTATGGATATTACAGTCAATGTAATTGACCAGAACGACAACAAGCCTACTTTCGCCCAAGACACCTTCCTGGGAGAAGTTCCAGAGGCCTCATCAAAAGGTACTGTCAATGGAGCTAATTTAAGTATGAAAGAGATGTTTGCTCAAACAATATAGTTGGACAATGATTGCAGTTACAACTACTTTTTTTGTGGTCTTTGTGTCTTGATCGTCTGTTCTATAGCTGTACAATGGAGCAAAAAAAACGGCACAAAAGTAAATCACAAATGTAAGCAATTATAATATTTGAAGTGAAGCACACATGCTAAGAGGCTGAACAAAGTTTCCAGATGAAAGTATATGGGTGTAGGTAGTTGCAAGGGTTAGGGATGACGACTTGGCAGAAGACGTATATTTAAGAACAAGTGTGTGCCAATAATTCGGAATTTCCCCATTGTGGGACAAATAAAGGAATATCTTATCTTAAAGTGAGTACCCAAATTGAGCCATGACCCCCTCACCTTCTTAATTTACATAGAAAACTTCCATTACACACAATTCCTTAATTAGTGAATAAATGACTATTACCTTTATCTGACAGTCTACCTTTATTGTATGTCTGCGTAATGGATCATAGTAGTTAGATGGTACACTCCTTTTTTTATAATTTGGGGTAATTTTAGTTCACTAAAAAATGTCAATCCTTAGAGACAAGACTACAAAATGATAAAATGACATGACTGACTGATACACCTTGCACACCACAAGGTACATTGTTAGGTTTGAAAGAAAACTAGCATAATCTTGGCCCCATATGGCCCAGCTTTATTTTGTAAATCACCTCTTTTAATGAGGTGCTCTGAACACTTTTAGGAGTCTTTGTACTTAATTTCCACTTCTGATGTCCCTTTCTCCAGATTATGAGGTGATTAAAGTTGTGGCCACAGATCGGGATGAGCCAAATAATGCCAACTCTGATATTCGCTACCGCATTATGAGCCAGGAGCCAAAGTTGCCCACTGACTTCCTGTTTGTCATCAACCCAGTCAATGGAGCCATCAGAGTCAATGCCGGTGGGCTAGACAGAGAGGTGAGGCTTTTAGAACATATTTTATCTGTCTTTGCATGTTTTCACACCTAAATGTTGAAATGATCTGTGTTTCAAAGAAACAGTTTTCCTGTTTGATTTGGTTCAATTAGGGTGGTATAAATACTTTTATGCAAGCTCAGGTGCAGACCAAACAGCTGCACCGAGTCTGACTGAAAAGGTGTTTTTTTGTTCTGCTTTG